CACTTTCGGTGCCCAACGCTGCTTCTGGATCCTTATATAGAACAAAGCTAGTACTATTTTTCTCGCGCATCTTGGCCCCGAACCCCTGGTTCGTGCTGAGACGAAGGAGCGCAATAGGTTGCGGTTCCAGTGATGCGTGTGTTCGAGCAGCATGGAGCAGTGGAAGCGTCTGTTGCCTGCAGGTTCGTGCTGAGACGAAGAAGCGCAAGGCTCCCGCACCTGTAATCCCTCGCGCGCTCCCCCTCCTTCAGCCGGGGTCGGCGGATATCTGATATGTGCTACGCAATACGATGCAGGTACCGGCAGCTCAAGAGTGTTCAACAAGACCTTCAGCGGGAGTACTTTCTTTTTCGCCTGCACGGACTCAAACTTACCATTCTAGAATTTCGATGCCACACTTCGAGCGCACCATACTTTGAGGTGTAAGCTGTCAGCTCGAGAAGTCCAAGAATACTCGTGAGGCAGCCATTGAGGAAAAGGAGGCGTGCAGCAAATTGTACTCTTATATTGCCGCTTAATTTAATTTATCGTTAGTTATATCACATCATATCACTACATTGTGCTTTAGCACAGGAGCACAGGTTGCACGCTAATGCAGGCTGTGAAAGAGCAAATGGAATCTGAGAAGAAGAATTTGGAGGATGGGTAGATTCATGTTGGTGTCGTTTGTTCTTTTTTGAATGACGAGTTGTGATGTCACTCCTTGGCTATTGTTTGTTGAAGGCAGCAGATCAAGCAAGGGCAAAAGCTCGCCTGGACACCCAACAGGCCAAGATGTCTCAAGCACTCGAAAGTGTAGACTGTCTCGTAGCATCGCTAGTGAAACATGCGAGTTCTTTGACTTCTTTCCTCAAGCCAGGTTGAAAAGCAGATAGTAGCAGTCAAGGCAAAGCTGGAGCCGAGGGCTGTGCAATCGCTTCCTTCCAACTTGCAAGCACATCAGCCATTTGATCTCGTTGTTAGATGTCTCTTTAAGGCGTCTTCACCCTGAGCGAGTCACTGTGAAAAGCCGGCTTGCATTTCTGGCAAACAGGCGAGATGAGACAAGAACCACCTTACAGACAGCAAAGATGCTTCAACAAAATCCCCAAGGGGTGTTTTTTGTATTCTTTTCCTTTCTATTTCCATACTAGATGCTTCTGACATTCCTGGTTCTGCTGAGTCCACGTTCCAAGACGTGGTGAAGTCTGGGCTTTGGGCTGTGCGATAGGCTGGAGGAGCTGTCTGATTCTGCAGAGAAGGATGGCCAAAGGCAGGGATTGTACTCCGAGTCCATTGTTGTCCTTGTGAAGGAGCAATCAACGTAGGGACTTATGTATCATGCTTCGCACTTCGCAGGCGCAGCAAGTTGCAAGAGCAGCTTAGAGCCATTAGTACTCATCTTAGCTTTTTGATGCTTTTTGAATAGTTCTTGTTTTTTTGTCACAACCTTTCAATCCGCCGCATTCAGCTTAAAGGAGAGGAAGAAGCGAAGCTAGAGTCTCAACAAGAAGAACTGAAGAAAGGGTTGGCAGATCGAGCACTCGTCTTCACTCCAGACCAGCTGGAGGAGCACCTTAAAGCAGAGAGTCCAGAGTCTTGCGAGCACTCATGTGCACCTATGAGTATTTGCATGAGCACTCATGAGGTCTTGTCCTCAATTCCTTCCTCGCTCGCCAGGAGTTTGACCGTGTGAAGCGCGAAACTGAAAAAGCAACCGCTGCGAGTGGGGACGCTTTGCGCCAGCTTGAACACCAACTGAAGGTTGTCCGCAGGATGCTTAGAATGAAAGCACCTAAGTCAATGACCCGGCAGCCGTGCTGTAAGTGATGTAGTAAGTGCGTACTGTAACCTAAGTATTGAATCCATAAAAGTACATTACAAGTACGAGTAGTAGAGTTTGGCCTGACAAGCCGTTGATCCACAGAAGCAAGGCCGAAGCCTGTCAACCGGGGCTGAACCATTGATGGCGTTTACGAAAGGTTAGAACACAACAAATTAGATTTTGCCAGGATCACACATGCTGCACAGAACCAGGATTTGTTCAGATCAGCAACCCTACGGTGAATTTATTCAGAGGCCAAAGTGCTCCTCAAAGACCAATGCTAATGCCTGTGAAACAAGCTAGTTTCTTCTGGTGAACACGTGTGCAAACTGTAGTGACTGGTGGCTGGCGGCTGACGTAGTGCTTGTTTGTTAGTCCGAGGTCACAGTCATGTTGAGCCCAAGGTCTCTTGCAAGCATTCTACATGCCAGACTTGACACAAGTGGCACTGGATACAAGCAACATACAAGCCTTCCTGCGTGCTCAACACAAACACGAAATGATAATAAATGATAAATCGGTTGTAAACGGCAGTGGATTCAATAAGTAAAATGCCCAGGCCTGGCCGTCCACATGCTGTTCACAGATGTTTGCACGTGGTTTAGGCCAAGAACGTGTGCAAGCAGAAGGTGACCAGCGAGATGCCACCGCACGGCAGAGCCATCTCAATCAGCGCTTGCAAGAGCTCAACGAGGTGGTGATGTGTTGGATGGTTTTTGCTCGGTGATGTGTCAATGTCTTCACGTCTTTACATGTTTCACTTCATGGCAACATGCCATAGTTACAGCTACACAGTCAATAGGTAAACACTATATTATATAACATACAGCCATACAGCAACTCCAACAACCAGATAAAAGGTTGCGTATTGCCGTGAGTACGCAGACTTGGCAGCATTGTCCTTTGCCATGATAGCTTTGTTTGCGTGACCAGGCTTGAGTTGTGTCTAACATGAGCCTCCTCCAACTTGTTTGGGTTCTCTTCTGTAATGGAGGGATTATTTATCCATCTATCTATCTATCTATCTACCTATATACCGTACCTATCTACCTACCTACCTACCTACCTACCTATCCTGTCTATCCATCTATCTATCTACCTACCCACCTATCTATCTTTCTTTCTATGTTGCCGACGGGCTCAGCTCTCACACACACACACACTTCAGAGACGTGAATATACGTGTATACATATATTATATACAGTATATATATATCATATATATGTATTATGTATATATATATACATATATTATGTGTATATATATATATCAGCAGAACCGTGCGAGTAAAAACACGATGCAATTCATTCGGCAAATAATGAGAGGGAAAGAGACGAGAGAGGAGAAAACAAGTAGCTTCGAAGTCGGGGCACTTCAATTCATGTTGCGTTTTCCGACAAACTTGGTGAGGCCGAGACTGCAGCCTGTGCTGCTATGGAGAGCAGTGCGGCCTTGATGGACCAGCGTTCACAACAGCTGGTGCAGATGCACGAGTCACTGAAGAGCCGAAGTGGTGAGAAAGAGGAATTGCAGAAGGAACGGAACTCCCTTCTCGATTTCATCCAAGACTTCACTGCTACAGAGCAGCAGCTAGAAAGAGAGCGCGAACTTGGTCAGATTTGCGCAAGTTTGGCGGAAGCTTGCCCTGGTGTCTTTGGCCGGGTGGTTGACCTTTGTAAGCCCTCACAGAAACGCTTGCACGTGGCCGTGAATGTGGCAATGGCAAAGTTCCTTGATGCGATCATCGTGGAATCAAGTGAAGCAGCTCGGGCCTGTGTGCGCTACCTCAAGGAGAGAATGTTGCCTCCGATGACCTTCTTACCAATGGCAGATCTGCGAGTTACAGATCTTGACCCGCGACTACAGAATCTGGTCCAAAGCCAACGAGGACTGCAAAAGACGTCACAATTGAATCGATGAATCGATTGATCAATCAGAAATAGACTTTTTTATCCTTTTTTTTAAATGAGATATTGGAAAACCTACAGTACTCAGGTAGGACTTCGTCAAGACCTGCTGTTGACCTGCAGGACTTCGTTTGGGCCTCAATTGTGTCTCCTTCGACGAGAAGTACTCGAGGGCCTTCAATTTCGTCCTTGGAGATGTTGTTGTGGTCCGTGTCTCAATTGATTTGGACACTTTCACTACCTGAAACGTCCGACGATTTTGACAATCCAGATCCAGAGGATACATTAAGGTTTTCAGGATATGATACACGTGCAGAGGCAGACACGATGGCGGATGGGCGGCGCCTGGCCTTTGGAGATTCTCGCAAGCTGGGAGTCACCTGCAAGGTGTGAGAAAGAAATTAATAAATCAATATAGATCAACAATTCTTGGGGTTTCGGAATTCAATGTCAAGTACTGACAACCTTGTTGGGAAGGTGGTGACACTCGCCGGAGAGGCAATCGCAAAGAATGGCAACTTATCGGCGGGACTCTTGGACAAGAAGAGCAGAGACGCAGAGATAGTAGAAGATTCGATAATGAGTGCATGTTGTGTTCAAGACTTGAATAGATTTGCAGGATGCGTATGCCATTTGAGGCAGCACTAAACTGAACGTGCCGTTTCAAGGTCAATTCTGAAGCTACTCAAGCAGGGGCAACCCGCTTTGACGTCTCCGAGCTGGAGGCAGCGGCAACCCATGTTGAAATTGGCCTTGTGAGACCTTGTGAGTCTACTTAGTAGCTAGAAGAAGTTACTAGGTTGGAGGCCATCGCTACTAGTAGCGATGCCCTTGTTACTAGTAGCGATTGAGTTTTTGTTTCGCCCAAGCTGTTCTTACATGTTGCTCCACAAGATTGGTCTGCGCTTCAGGCAACGAAGGCTCGTATGGAGAGCATTGACCGGCGAATGCATCAGACAGGGCCTTACCAAGTCAAATTTCATTTGACTTGTGGTTGCTAGCAGTAGCGTTGGACGCGGTGGCAGAGTTGGCCCTTGTTCATGCTTGTTCTTGTCGCTTGTGCTACTCTACTCTAAGCACAGACTGTGGCCCCCCTTTGCGCTGCCATCTCCCTTTCACACAACGTTGCATAGGGTTTGAACTTTGGTCAAGTTGTCTTCACATGTCGTGGCGAAAGCTATAGCATACGTATAACGAACATGTATTAGGGACCGCCCCCCCTGGTCTGGTCCCTTCGGTCCGGGAGCGTAGGAGATTTTTCGGTCGGTTTCGATCCGTGAAGTTCAAGGTCCGAAGGTCCTAGATCATGCATGGCAATTTCCTTAAACATGCATGCAGTGCTTTTGGTAAAGGGTTTGGAACGGCCATCGCACACACTTGCTATTGAAGCCTCACTGGCTGCTGTCACACTCCGGACACACCACTCCCAACTTACTACCTTTCATCTCCAACTGTCAACCTTTCCACGGGTTGCTTTGTCTTGTTGAGTACCCAGTGAACTGTATGCAAATAACGCCATCGAGTTGGAGAATCTCATGCAATGGTCTAAGTGTACACTTGATCAGAATCAGAGCCAAGACCGGTACGACAATGAAGAGCCATAGATTTAAGCCCACCAACTAAGTTGAGAAGTGTACGAAGCAAAAAACAAATCCATTGCAGCAGGTGGCCCCGAAAGTGGACAAAATAGGAGCAAGGACGCTACTAGGGGCTCCTGGCATCGCTATTATGAGAAGATGGGCCATCAGCTTTGCATGTTATCTCCAAGGATTCACTCACAGGAATCTGCTGGAGGAGCTGATGTGGTGCTTTCCCAAGTCCAACTGTTGAAAGCAAGCGATGAATTCATAGCCGCCATAGCCCCTGTGCGAGGCAGCTTTGGAGCTCGACATGAGGCGGGTTGAAGGAAAAGCACAGGAAGCTGCGATGCGCCTGCAGCAGTGCCAAGAAGAGCCAAGAGCTCAAACAAGTGAGTCAGCCACAGCAAGACATGTCTTATTTGATGCCGTCGACTCACTCGACTAAGTTAGTTGAAGGGAAAGCGCCTTCTGAGGCTGCGACAAAAACGTGCAGAGCTGCAGTCTGTTGAGGCTACAGTGGCAGCCGTGCAACCAGAAGCGCAACGCTTGGCCTTGGAAGAGGCACAGTGAAAGCAACGGCCCAAAATAACTGAAGCCTCGAAGATGAGCATCAACGATGCCAACTTTTGCAGTCCAGACTCCATGTTTGCAAGGCTCGTTTGCGAGAGGAACAGCGCTCCATTGAGGTGGGCTCCAGAAAGTGGCCAGTGACTGCTAGTGCGTCCAAAAGCAAGTTTAAGCAGCTCCGAAATGCATCAAAATGCACTTGCTTTAGATCGCTTTAGTCTGGTACACAAGCTTGATATTTTACGATGTATTTTGATTTCTATTAGCTTCCTGCATAAACTTTCCTTCATACAACTTGACAATTAAATTAGATGTTGAATGGGTTTTGGAGGCCAGAGTCAGCGAAGCAGTGGTGGACTTCTCGGATAGTTATATAGTTGCAACGTTCCACAGTCGATGTGTTTAGGCTGCACCTGTAAAGGTCGTAAGCATACCTCTAAGGCTGGACACTTTGCCCATTTGAGTGCTGCAATGGGTGTTGATGATGTCAGAAAGATGGAGCGCCGCTTGTCTCAACCCTGCTTTCGCGCTGGGTTTCAAGATGATTGAAGACGGAAGAAGGAACTTCTAGGCGAAGAACAAAACATCTACATGCCTTAAAGGATGCCTTACTATTAGTTCTTCTCTTACTGTCTTGGATGCAAGGTGAGTTCCGTCGAGAGAAAGAAGCAGTGGATCAGCAAACCGCTCAGCTCGCCAGAAGGCTTCGAAATGTCAAGGTGGGGAATTTTAGGGGCCGTACAGGTAGTAGCTAGGTAGCTAGTAGAAGCTAGGTCCGGTAGTTAGTACCTACAAGTAAGCTACTATATGGACGCAGGATAGCTCACGCTTCCTTGAAGAAGCGCTCGCACTAATGATTTGGTTTCTAGATGTTTCTAGATTTTTAGGGAAACTTAAGCACTTTGAATCATTTTTAATCGCGCTGGCAGATCCAACAGAGCTTTTGCCAGGCTGAGATCTCCATGCTGGAACAGACCCTCGAAGAGCGAAGGACCAAAGACCCTAAAGAGCTGGAAGCAAAGTTCTCTGAAGAGGCAGTGTTTCCTTCGTTTCAGACTGTTTTTAATTCTTGAAACATAGAGGCGTGCTTCTTTTGGTGTCCAGGCCGCTGAGCTCCGCACCAAGGACTTGCTTGTCCTTTCCAACGAAAATAAACGAACCAACAAACATACATACACATTATCATGATGTAGACGAGCAAGCAGCAATGATGCTGAGTTTGCTCAAATTCAATCAAATTCAAAACTCTCAGGAGACCAAGTTGGCACGTGAGGCAAAGTCCTTGGAGAAGAAGGTCCGATTCCATCCAATTCCGTCCTTACTGAGAGCGTCATACCTTGGACCCAGTCAGAGATGCCAAATTTTGTCGAAACAGCACACTGTGCTGCCTCCGTACCGATGTCCAGATGTGTCCAGTATGATTGAAAGGTTGGCCTTCGAATGCCTTCCATGTCCGGTATCTGCTTGTCACAGAAATGGTCGGTTTAGAATTCAGTGGGGACAACCGGCCTCACACTTGTGAGATCTCTCTCTCTCTCTCGCTTGTTGTTGAGTATGTCAATGGACCCCGCTGGTTCGGGTCATGTGCTCTTTCCCACATTGTGGTTTGCCGATGCCTGCAGGTCTCGGAACAGGAGCAGCAACTTTCTAGGAGTCACGAAGCCGAGCGGGATAACGACAAGGCTTCGAAAACCGCAACACATCGGATACGTAGATGAAACATGATGAAACTTGTGTTAAATTGGCTCGATTGCAACGAATCAGTGAAGCATGGTGGATTGGTGCGCAGGTTTTGTCAGCTCTCCGTCAGCAGCAAAAAGAGAGACGGCAGCAACTCATGGCAGCGGAGAAGAAGGAGACGCTGAAACACCGTCGTTTGACGTCGGCCACGACATTTGAAGACTGAAACAAGTTTGTCTTGAGCTTTCGGGCGTGGCACGTTTGCACGCAGGTGAGTGACTTGGGGTCTGAACAGCAGGCGGGGCAGAATAGGTTTGCTGTGACCCTTTTAAAGCATGTTTTAACTGCACTAAATTTGCTGTTTTGGCGGGAGGCTTTGTTGAGCAACCAATCAACCATTTTGCGGCAAAGCTTATTGGAGGGCATTGAGGCACTGGCCGCGTGTGCAACACTGCAGTTTAGACAGTTGAGTGTGCTGAGCAATGGGGCTCCATACGTGTCACTAGGTGTTGCGTGGGTGTCCCTTTCCCACCAAATTCCAGACTGCCAAAGGGCTGAATTTCTATATACTGGGACAAAGCCTATTGGAGGAGGACATTAAGGCACCGGCCACATGGGAACACTGCGGTTTTTACACCCGAGCATCCTGGCAATGTGCTTCCATACATCCGACGACTGGGTCAGGTTATGAAAGCCTGCCGTTAGGCCAGTTGTTCAGGTAAACGAATAAAGGCTAAGACATGGTAAGACATGTGACCTTGATTTTAGTTTAAATGCTGGTTCATTGTGGGTGTGGAGGGGAGTTGAATGATGCTGGTGTTGCAAGCTATAATACAGCTATATAGACAGATTGCATTTCTATCGTCATTGAATGCATATTGTGTTGTAGCGAATCTGTCTAAACACTCGGCTTCCGTCCATGCTCTGATACTCTAGCTGCTCTGGCCTCCAGCCTTTCTAAAGCGGCTGGGTTTTGGACTAGAGGCTACTGACTGAGACGATATGAAGACTAAAAACCGACTTAACTAGACCGCAGCTCAATCAAATCTACGGAACTGCACAAAGAGTACCACGTGATGTGGCTTGCATTGTGTCGAGGTGCCGCTGCTCCGTGGCGGACCGGAGGCACTGCAAGAGCTTGCGGAGGCCAGGCCACATGGAGCCGCTATTATTTGACATCATTTCTAGCATCTCCAACATTGGATGCAAGCTGGAGACAAATGGAATATTGTTGGAAGACATTCTTGATCATTCTTGGCGTGATGGTGAGGAAACGCAGCCTGCTTCGGCGCCAACACAACGCTCGCCTGTTGATACCAGCAGTATTCTGGTGGATTTCTCTTTGTTGGCGGAGGAGCGAGGATCAAAGCTTGAATTCCCTAGTGAGAGAACTCTCGATGCGTTCAAGCTTTAGAGTTTGGGGAGAGGGCTCTTGGGTTTGCAACCTGGCTGAACAGCCTCCTGCTACTCAAAGCTCCTGGGAAGGAGAAACAAGCTGCTTCCCATGGTGCTGCAGCGCAAATGCTGGAGGCTTTCTTCTAACACACCACTGATGCCGCAAGGACACAATTAAACATGCACACACACAGGCCGTATATATATATATATATATAGTTGCGATTAGAATCCGTATGGTCTTTTGCAGATGCCAGAACTCAATCAGCCAAGCTTCAAAATAAAACAGCATAGACCCAGATAGCGGCAGCATCCCACGACCTGTTGACATGCGACTGGCTGGAACAAGAATGTACACAGCCTGCACGCACAGCCAGCTTACGGCGCTTCCACAGCGCGCGCAACCAGCTGACACCAGCACTGGTGCGCTTTGCCAGCTGACAACACCGGCGGCGGCACCAGCAAACGCGCGCTCAGCCACCAGCACCCAGGACCACAACACCAGCACCAGCACCGACACCCCTTCGAAAGCGCGCGCCCAGCTCATTCTTATTTGCAGTGGGAAGCTATCCCTAGTGTGATCTTGCGCGTATAAGTTTATGCGCACAAAAGTATGCGCGCAAACAGCAAAGCCCGTAAGTGTCATTGGCCCAAGGCCAAGCAGTATCCAGCGCCACAGTTGCCTTTGTATCATGCTTGAAGCAACGATCTGTAGAACGATACGGCCGCATGATCTTGCGCGTATAAGTTTATGCGCGCAAAAGAATGCGCACAAACGGCAAAGCCCGTAGGCTTCACTCGCCCAAGGCCAAGCAGTATCCAGCACGACTGTTTTGTGTGTAGCAGGCTGAAACATGCTGAAACAATGGTCGGTTGAGAGCCTGACGTTGCGCATAGAACATTGTACGCACAAAAGTATGCGCGCAAACAGTACAGCCCTTGACACAGCCGTCCGCCAAAACAGAACCTGAAGAGCGTAAATACACCACAGCGCTCACAGACAAAGAGCGCTCAAGCGACAACACCGTATGATATTGCGTGCATAAGTTCATGCGGCCCATGACTGCTGGCACTTTACTGTCAGAAGCGGCGGTTGGTCGGTGGCGCCCAGCACCCGGCACCCTGTCTCCACCACGTGCACAGCCAGCGCCCAGCACCAGCACCCAGTCTCCACCACGCGCACGGCGCCCCCCACCACGCGCGCACAGCCAGCTCACACACCGCCAGCGCCACAGCCGCACACCCATGCAGTTCACAACACCAGCACCAGCGCCGGCCCGGCGCCCTGTCTCCCACGCCCAGCACCAGCACCGGCACAGCCAGCTCACAGCACCCAGCACCAGCACCGGCACCTAGCACCCAGCACCGCACCCAGCACCGGCACCCTGTCTCCACCACGTGCATAGCACCAGCGCCAGCGCCAGGCACCCGGCACCCAGCACCAGCGCCGGCACCAGCAACCTGTCTACCAGCACCGGCACCAGCGCACAGCCAGCGCACGGCGCCCTGCGCCAGCACCCGGCACCGGCACCGGCGCCAGAACCCGCGCCAGCACCGGCACCCGGCGCCAAGCTACCAGCGCCAGCAACCTGTCTCCACCACGTCCACAGCCAGCTGGCACCCGGCAGCACGGGCGCCCGGCAGCACCGGCACCAGCAACCTGTCTCCACCACGTGGCACAGCCAGCTCACAGCCCCAGCACCGGTACCCAGCACCCAGCACCAGCACCCTGTCTCCACCACACGCACAACCAGCTCACAGCACCAGCGCCAGCACCCGGCACCACCAACCTGTCTCCACCACGTGCGCAACCAGCTCACAACACCACCACCAGCGCCAGCGCCGGTACCAGCAAGCTCACAGCACCATCACCGGCACCCGGCACCAGCACCAGGCACCAGCACCGGCACCAGCGCCCAGCACCAGCGCCGGCGCCAGCAACCTGTCTCCACCACGTGCGCCGGCGCCCAGCACCCAGCACCAGCACCCGGCACCAGCACCAGCATGTCTCCACCACGTGCACAGCCAGCTGCACCCGGCACCCAGCACGAGCACCAACACCAGCAACCTGTCCCGACCACGTGTGCAGCCAGCTCACAGCACCAGCACCAGCACCAGCACCGGTACCAGCAAGCTCACAGCACCAGCACCGGCACCCGGCACCAGCACCAGCACCGGCGCCAGCCAGCACCTGCACGGCCCGGCACCCGGCACCCAGCACCAGCACCAGGCACCAGCACCGGCACCAGCACCCAGCACCAGCGCCGGCACCAGCAACCTCACCACGTGCACCGGCACCCAGCACCCAGCACCAGCATGTCTCCACCACGTGCACAGCCAGCTCACAGCACCGGCACCCGGCACCCAGCACCGGCACCGGCACCAGCAACCTGTCTCCACCACATGCACAGCCAGCTCACAGCACCAGCACCAGCACCGGCACCCAGCACCAGCACCAGCAACCTGTCTCTGTCTCGATATCGCGCACGGACAATTCATTGTTAATTTGAAGTATGAACCCCATAGCTTCGCTATCTGGGGAAAAACAAATCAAGGAGGCTGAGAACAGCCAAGCCTTTGCCACACAGGCGGAATACAAAGCAGAGTTGGAGCGGCTGCGAGCGGAGCTTGAGCGTCTCAGCCCGAACCTCAAAGCCGTCGACCAGCTACAAGGTGTGGCCGAAAACCTTCAGGCGGGATGGGGTAATGAATGATAGAATCGATGCAAACATGTTGTATGTATCTGTTTGCATGCTACAATTGCTTTGGTTTCCTCAGCAGAAACATGGCTTTAGGCAGGCTTTGCTGGCTTTGCCTATTTTTATTTTTCTTTACCTTCCTATATATATATATATATTATAGAAGGGCCTTGATTAGGCTTGATTTGACGTTGGAATGAAAAAGGATGTTCTCAAGGCTGCTTCCCATGAAGCTGATGCTGCTCGCAAAAGCATCGAAGAAATTGAGGGCAAATTCGAGACTGTCCGAAAGGCTCGGAAGGACTGACTCCACTTTGCTTCAGCAGGTTTTTCGAGAAAGGAAAAATGATGAAAAAGGATACATCATATCTGGAAGAACAAAACAGAAGAAAAAGGAAGGTGTTTGTGACTTGGTACCAGGAGAAATTCATTGAGTGCTTTCAGAAGGTCTCGGCAGCCATTGGACCTGTGTACCGACGTCTCACTGCTCAGAATGGCGCAGATGGTGGCTCTGCATACCTTGATTTGGAGGCGTTTCTGAGGGTCTTGCATCGGAGACATAACGAGATGGACACTTTCCGTCCGAGAAAGTTCCCTGACTTAACGCCCTTCATTCATTGATTCATTAGCAAGGGATAGTTAACAAAGCGTTCTTGCAAGTAGCAGAAAGGGCTTGACTTAGTCAATGTGCAACATGAGTAATGTGAGCAGGATGCAGAAGATCCCTTCAATGGAGGAATTAAGGCGCTCCTTAAACACAGCTGAAATATCTTACTTTTGAGTCCAAAGTACACCTGAATGCAGTGAAAGTCACAGCGATTTGCTTGACCAGTTCACAGCTATGCCTCCAGCGAAGCGCTTCCGTGACATGCACCTTCTGTCTGGGGGTGAGTTTGAGACTTACAGTATGCTTCGTTGTGCTTCTAAAGTAGAGCCGTGCATGACATTGTACCTTGCCCTCCGGGCATAAGATCTTGTCCGCTTACTAGGAACAAGAGGACGCTACTAGTAACAAAAGGCATCGCTACTAGGAGCAAGGACGCTACTAGGTGCGCTCCTGGCCTTACTAGGAACAAGAAGCTCGTGATACTTGTTTGTGAAACGGTCCAAAGGTCAATTTCCTGCAAAACCCAGAAACCGTTGTGCAAGTAACGTAAGCTGTTGATAGCTTGATTAGTGAATTTGCTACTTCTTGCTTGACTTACTTCGCTACAACTTTCCCGGAAAACAAGTCTTTGTTTGACAACACGCTTTGATCGAGGAAGACCTTGGCGGCCATGGCGTTGCTCTTTGCTGTCCAAGCCTTTCAGCAGCCACCCTTTATGGTTTTGGATGAGGCCCTTTATGGTCCGCGGGTTGGTAAGGAAGGTTCAGGTGTCCGTAAGGCACCACCGGCCACCGCCGACCGCTAGATTAGGCCCCTAGTCTCCGAAAGTATCGCTGATCAACATGGGGAACTGCAAGCAATGCGTTTCGCCACAGATTCTGGTCCTGTGCTTTCTTTTGTTTTGATATGGGGATTGAATCAGGTTGATGCGGCGCTTGATGCCAACAATGTTCGAACGTTGTCAAAGTATGTGGAGCAGGCCAAGAGACATTTCGAGCTTTTGGACACAGATGTGTTGAAAGGGAAAACTGTGAATTGAAAGGCTGGATGCCAGACCATTGTGATTTCCCTAAAGGCCCATTGCTCGCCAGTGCGCAATGACGATCTGATATACGACAAGTTAATGTCATTTGAGATGCATGATTGCTCTTGGAGGATCGTTTCTTCATTCGAGCCGAAGCACTTGTCGGGGTGTGGAAGAACAAGCTGCAGGTCCGGAGTTATTTATTCTAATTCAATGTTTGCAAAGGTCGGGTTGAAAGAAATTGAAGTGACCTATTCTCAGAAGTGACTTGCACCCTTGACCCTTGACGTCTCAGGAGACTTCCGCAATCCTGACATTGGATCTGACGAGGTACATTGAGCACAATGCTCAGTTTGATGCCAAAAGGGCTTGGACTGAACTACCCCTTACGACGGATTTGAACTTGTTCGCTGCACCTCAAGCGCCACTCAGGTCGGCCTGATGAAGCACACACACCATGGTATACGATCCATTCACATCATATCTCAATTCAATGATGGTGTGAGCTGTCATGCTGGAACTGTGGAAGCTGCCGGTTTTAGAATGTTTTAGAATATAGTTGAGAGATGTTGAGAGGTTGGTTTCAGACTTGCAAGAACATAGAGCTGTCTCTTCTCAGCTTGCAACGTGTGGAGAGCTCCTGTAAAGTTCCATTATGTTCCAGTCCTCTATTCAATGCACGCTTAGCCAAATATGCAGGGAGAGACAGTGCCTCTTCAGCCAGTTGACAAATTGTTAGTGTATTGAGATGTTGCTTTACAAATCCTTGCCATCCTTGCCTGACCTAGAGGTGCTGTCCGCAAGTCATATGCCAGATTTTGCATCCGACCTATGTTGAAAGCTGCAGCCGGGAACATATGAGGTTATCATGAATCAGGGAAGATATTGCAGTTGATTTGTATGCTGGTAAGAATGCACAAACGATCCTTCAAAGATCTTTGGAGCTGGATGCTTGGACGGGTGGCTAAGTGCACTTTGCTGCAGCCTGCAAGTGAGATTGCGAGCAATCACCGATTTGTTGATTGTGGATCGTTGGATTCCTGCTGATCCACGGTTTCCAGTCACTTTATTTAGATGGAGATCTTGTCTTTGAGATCGTACAGCAGAACAACAAACGTGCTGCTTGTGATAGCAAGGCAATAGTCCCGTAAGTTTGCAACCACTCACTCCAGCTTCATACCAAGACCTTAACATTGCGGCAGCTTCTCTTTTGCTCTGTACCTGATAGCGTGCAAGACGTCATAAACATGAGTATGATCCGACTTCCCTGCAAGAGAGTTCAGGTACCGTAACACTTTCATGAGGCCTGCGAAGGTAAAAGGGCCATTGCTTCCAGTTCAGAGAATGGACGTTACCACACTTATCACACTTCTACCTTCAGCGCTTGTGAACTCATTAGCTACACCTCCATTGCCCCCACACATGCTGGCTCATCGCCATCATCGGCCTCATGCCCTTGCCTGGGTCTTGGGTGATTCAATGAATGACCTGTCCAGCTAGAGTAGAGGTGTGGATTGGCTTGGCGCATGTTGGTTCGCATGTTGCTTGCCTACTTTTCACATGTATGATCTGACAGAACTTCGCAGAATTCCGCAGCTGGCCTTGGTTGAAGAATGATCCCAGACTTGTTGGCCTCACTGCACAGTCCCCACTGACAGACGGGAGGACCTGAATGCTTTGTGCTACAGTCCAGAGATCTCCAGAGGTATTTATGCCACGAAACAACTCAGAGTTCGACTCACAGCAGCAAATTGACATACAGACAGATAGACTCGACCAGCATGCAAGACACACTGTGATCCAAGATGTTCCAAGCAAGCATCTTAAAAGAAAGGCCAGGACGGACTGGGCCATGGACTGCTGACGCACGACTGGGTGGCAATGCACTTCTCAGTCCTGGACAGTGAAGAGTCCAAGAACATCGCCGTGGTCCACAAGACAAATCAGGGTGACTTGGACGCCTTTTGGGCGTGGAGGTCATCACTATTAGGTTGGATTCCATCGCTATTAGGTGGAGGCCATCACTATTATGTGGAGGCCATTGC